AAGCCATTCTTAAAAATTAAATTATATAAGCTTGCAATTAAATGAATTATGTTAAAAAAAACAAAGATAATAAATACTCATCTCAGAACTTCATAATTTTATTTATTATCTATGGTCTTAATATTATTTTCAGGGCTGCATGATTAGCTCACTTTGTTAGAGTGTGGTGCTGGTAACACCATGGTCAAGGGTTTGGAACCCCATACTGGCCAGCTACCAAAAAAGAAAAAAAAAAGATTATTTTTATCTATGTTATCTGTGTGAAAATGCTATATAACTGAACCAATTCTCTGTTCAGTGACATCACACTGACAACTTGAAATCAACCATGGTGGGGGTGTTTACACCATGGATATCGACAAACCCTACACAAGGTATTCCTTCCCACCTGCCCCAACCTTGGAGAGCTGTTGTGCTTTCTGTTAAACACTTCCCCAGTACACCATGGCCCAAATCTATACCTAAAGCCAGCTTGGAGTGCTTTCCTGAGCTCCGGGCTCAGATGCCCTACTGCCTGCTGGACACCTCCTCCAGCGTGTCTAGCAGGCACTCGCCATGCCCCAAACAAGTTCATCATCATCCCCCAACACTGCTCCACCCCCTCAGTGGCTGTTTCATTTTGCAATATCTTCGCTCACTCTGTTCTCCAAGCCAGAAACCTGGGAATGTTCCTAGACTCATCCCTCTCCCTCTTCCCCAACACCTAGTGTCACCTCCTAAGTAATATCCAAATCTCTCCCTCCAGTGTTCCAGCTTTACCATGGCTTCCCTTGCTCAGGCTTCCTTATCCCTCCTGTGGAGTTTGGTCCAGCCTCCTTGGTGATCTTCCTACTTCCATCCTGTCCTCCTCCAGCCCACCTCCATTGGCCCCATAAAATGCAAATCTCATTAATTATCCTATGTGCTTAAAACCCTTCAGCGACTTCCCATTTCCTATAATATGAAGTACAGACACCATTCATCGGGTCGTCCTTCTTCCTGCTCTCTCCTATCTCCAGGTCAGTCCTTCTCTATCCTTCTTCTTCATCACATACTTTGACACTCGGGGGTTTTTAATCCCAAGCCACAGAAATAACTTTTGGCTAATTTAAGCAGATAAGGGGTTCATTAACAAGAACTGGGCAGCTCAAAGAATCTCTGGGAGGACCAGTGACTCCATCTTGGAGACCACACAGCCCGGAATGGTGCCCCAAATTCCACTGCCAAGCAGGTGCGTGAAGACTCCGCTGATGCCACGGCTGAGTGTGGGCAGTGTGGCTGCCCTGTTGATGCTGGACACTCCCACAACAAGTGTCACTGCTGCCCATGGTCCCTGGCAAGAGCTTCCACCCCAACACTTCCTCTCCTCCCCAGAACAGACTCCCCTCCTTCCCTGCTGCTTCCTGTCACTAGCTTCAGGTTCCAGACTGGGACTGGTGAGTCTGAGGCCCCAAATGTTAGTCATGTGTCCTATCTGCAAGGAAGGCTGAGAAAGCAAGTATTTGGTATTATCAGTTCTTAGAGGGGACAGTGGGACTCCACCTCATAAGGTGGGGGATGCTCTAAACACAGGAAGGGGGCAGTTCCAATGCTGAGGCCCAAAAGGAACAGATGTCCCCTATGCTAGTTTTTTAAATTATACAAGTAAAATACTAACCAAGGTAAAATAATCAAACAGCACAAAGAAGGAAGGTGAGGAAATATAAAAGCCTCTCTCCCTGAGTCCTCTTAGTCCCATTTCCCAAGATCAACTACTGTTGACAGTTTTTTGGAAATCCTTGCAGATAAGTTCTTTGTGTGTGTGGCTATAAATAAGTATGTATATGTATTAGTCCATTTCTGTTGCTTTCAGCAGAATACCTGAAACTGGGTAATTTACAAAGGAATGAAATTTATTTCTTACAGTTTCAGAGGATGGAAAGTCCAAAGTCCAAGGAACACATCTGGTGAAGGCCTTCTTTCTGGTGGTGACTCTCTACAGTGACACAGGGTGTCACATGGTGATAATGTGCTAAGCTAGAGAGTTAACCTCACCTGCTCTCATTTTAAAGCCATCGGAACCATGCCCATTACTCCATGAATGAATAAATCCATTCATGATGGCACAGTCCGCACAATCTAATCACCTCTTAAAGGCCCCACCTTTCAAATACTGTAATTGGATTTCCCACCCTCTTAACACTGTTACAGTGGAGATCAAGTTTCCAATACATGAATTTTAGGGGGACACATTTGACCCATAGAAGTATGTATTTGTATATAAGGTATAGATGTATAATGTATATAGTATGTGATATATATCTTGATATATAAAATATATATAATATCATTTTCCATGTTTCAAAATTGGTTCCTTCCACATATTACAGTTTGGCAGCTTGCTTCTCTCCCTTAACACCAGATCTTCACACACTCCCATGTCAGTACACATGGGACAAGCTCATCCTTTCTGACCGCAGCAGGCATTTCCCTGGGTGGATGTACCACAATTAACTAGCCAGTCCTCTACAAGTGGACATTTAGATTATTTTCAGTTTTTTGCTACAATGAACTGTGCTGCAATGAACATCCCCACAAGAAGGTCTTTGTGCACTTATGTGAGTAGAGATGTACAGGATAAATTCCTGGAAGGGGAGCTGTTGGCTCAAAAGGAGCATGCATTTAATGCTTTTGGTAAACATTGCCAAATTGCCTTCCAAAAAGCCTGTGCCAAGTTGCAGTCCTACCATCAGCCTGAGGACATCTTTTTTCAGGCCCTGAACAGTCTGGCTGTTGGCTGCCCCCTCACCTCATCACCTGTCACTTACCTTGCGTTTCTGGCCACAGTACCTTTGTCCATGCTATATCCACAACTTAAAATTCCCTTCCTCCCTTATCTGCCGAATGAAGTCCTACCTGTCCTGCTAGTCCACAGCTCAGATATTAACCTTCTCCTTATGACCTTCCCTGGCTCCCCTAAGCTGTCAGAGTTGCCTTCCTCTGGGATCCCACAGCTTCTTGGGCATAATTCTGTCATAGCACCACCTGAGGGCCTACTGTGTGCCTGGCATTCTATAATCATTTTGGCAATTTCCCCCATAACTACACAAACAAGTGTTCTCCTCCTCCATCCATCCTAGCTCTCCAGCTGCACTGCCTTTTATCTGTTCCTAAGCCCAGTCCTGCCTCAGGACCTTTGCACTTGCAGTTCCCGCTCCGTGGATCTTGCCTTCACCCATCTTGGCCTCTCGGTGCCTCTGTGGGATCTCTGCTCCAATGCACCTCTTTGCAGAGGCTTTTCCTGACCACTGCCTCAAGCACTCCTCTGGTTACCCTGTAATGTCACGGTTTTATTATCTTTATAAGGCTTCTCACAAGCTGAAATACACTTGTTTGATTTGTGTTGATGCGTTTATTTTCAGTCCTCCCTCCCCTCTCTGCACACACACACACGTCAATGGTAAGCTCCCCCAGAGCAGGGACCTTGTTTTCGTTCTCCACTGTCTCCAGCCTCGAACCTGCGCCACCTGTCTAAGTGCTCCATAAACATTCGTTGAATTAACCATCCGTGTTTTACAGAAAACTGGCATTCAGAAAGGAGAGCTGAGTAGCCCAAGGTCCCACAGTTAATAAAAATCACAGGTGAGATTCGAACCTATCTGAACTCCAGAACCAACCGCATTATTTCTTCCCGACTCTTAACACGCGGCATTGTCACCCTTCCCCCAACCCCCAACAGACTACGCAAGTCTCACGTCCCTGGATCCCCAGTGGCCCGCCCCAGGAGGCTCGTCTGCTCCGCGGAGATGTCACCCTCCCCGCCCCCTGTCAGTCAGGCCAAAGGGGCGGTGCGGCCTCNCGCGCGCCAAGCGCTGGGAATGGGGAATGGGATGGAGATGAATAGGGGACTGGAGTGGGATGAGGAAGGGGTGGAGAAGGGTGGGCACATGGAGGGGGTCTGGGGTGAGAGGGGGCGCCGGTGGGGGCGCGTCAGTGTGCAGCCCGGGGCATGTGTCTGCTCCTCTGTGTGGACGTGCGTCCGCGCCCGTGTGTGTTGGAGTGTCCGTGCGCTTTTGAACGTCCGCGTGTCCTGTATGTGCACGTGAGCGTGTCCGTGGTGTATGTTTTTGTGCATGACCGTGTGACTCTGCCGTGTGTGTACAGGCAGGCCCCGAGTCTTCGCGCCAAGCCCGGCACTCCGGTTCCGCGGGGCTGCAGGTTGCAGGGCCCCGGATAACCGAGGCGGTGGCCCCTCCCGCGTCCCCAGCTTTCAAGGACGCTAGGACTCGCCGCGGTCCTGAGGCCTCGTACTGACGAGGGGTGCGGGGAGGCAAGAGGGGACTCCAGATCCAGAAGGGCGCCCCAGCCTCAGGGAGGGGGCACCCGCGTCCCTCGGGAGGGGCTGGGGTGAGGGTACGGAACCAGCGCACTGGTACCAGTGTGTTCGCTCTCCCCAGGCCGCCAGGATGGACGTGTTCATGAAGGGCCTGTCCATGGCCAAGGAGGGCGTTGTGGCTGCCGCGGAGAAAACCAAGCAGGGGGTCACCGAGGCCGCCGAGAAGACCAAGGAGGGCGTCCTCTACGTCGGTGGGCGAGGGGCGGGGCTTCTGGGGCTGCGGGGTTCGGGTGACTTCGGAGAGTGTGGGGCCAGGGCCTCAGAGAGAGTGGGGGTCTGGGCAATAGAATATGAGTCAGCAGATGGGGCGGGGTCAGCAGGGTCACAGGGGACGTAGCTAGCTGATGGAAGCCTGGGGTCAGTGACGAGACCTGTGAGAGATGGGGACAGGGTGGGGGGTTAGTAAGGGTGGGGTTCAGCTGAAAGGCCAGGGACCAATGCAGTGATCAAAGCAGATTGCCTCCTTTTTTTTATTCTTACTGTCATTATTGACAGCTACCGTGAAATGCCATCACATCCATTACCTCGTTTAATGCTCCCAGCCCATTCTACAGATGAGGGAAGCTGGCGTTCCCCGAAGCCAAACTTACCTTGCTCAAGGTCACACAGTTGGTAAAACCTGAACCTGGGGTTTGAACCCAGCTTTATGGACTAGGAAGCCCCAACCCTCCCCTTGTGGGCTCTTCCTCGTGTATTATTTAGGGCTTCCTCCAGCTCTCCTCTCCAGCTACCTCCAGGTCCCCCTTCTTCCCAATGCCTGTGGTTCAACTATTGCAATCTCTCCTCCACATCTACCATCCCTATAGCTGCGAGCTGGTGTCAGGAGAAAGGCCAGGTGGTTAAAATCTCTCACCCTAACTGGGAAAGGAGACTGAGCCTGCAGAGTCATTTGCATAAAGGGAGGAAAAACCGGAAACTGACGTTTACTGAACCCATATCATGATTCAGGACTTGCTTCTGTGGAGCAGGTGTAATTATCCCCTATAAAGGCACCAGAGGGCTTCATAACTTGCCAAGGGTCATAGTGTATTTGGATTGTGGTTATTTGAAAAATATTTAATGACCACCTGGGTCATTAAAGATGCTGGGGGTGTAACAGTGAACAGGAGACAAAAGTGCCCATCTCCTGATGGTGATACAGAGTATTTCAGTAGTGGGATTTGACATCAAGTGGCTGGGGTGGGGACCACTTTGGGGTAGGGTAAAAAGGGTAAAAATAGAGACGGCCTGAGGAGATGGCATATAGGCTGAGTCAGAAAATGGACCTGTAGAATGCAGGGCAGGAAGCAGTGGTCGGAGATGAGACCAGATTGCTGAGCAAGAGCCTGTTCATGAGGGGGCCCTTATAGGCCTGTGCAAAGCATTATTATTATTGCCACGAGAGATTGTAGAACTGCCATGATCTGATTTCAGTTTAGAAAGTTCCCTTGGGACAGAACAAATTGCAGGGTGGCTGGGGTGAGGGCAGTGGGGATGGACACTAGGAGAAGGCTTGACCTTCTCCTACATCTGCTGACCCCAACTCTGGCCTCCCTCCTTCCTCCTCCACCAGGCCTTTCACCCCTGTTGACCCCTGGCACTCCTGACACTGACTCTCTGCTAATAGACTTTGCCCCTCCAAACCATGCTGCCTTTCCCCTTAGATTGGCACCTCTTGTTCCTCCCTCTGCCCAGGAGCCCCCAACGGCTCCCCATGCAGCCCACCCCCTCCTATCTCTGGGTCCTGGCTGGCCTTCACCCTGAGAACCCCATCTTCCCACTCTTCTTCTCCCCCCACCAGCCTCAGCCTGCCCAGACACTCATATCTGGGTCAGCTGTTGTCTGTGTTGCCAAATCCTTAGGATGGGAGACTCCCAGCTCCTTTGAGGACCCTCACTCCCCACCCCAGATCAGGCTCTCTTGCCTTTCCCAACGACCCCACATTTTGATGTGACCAGGTTGCTACCCTCCTGGGAAGGCCCAGCCAGTGCCATGGGTGCCAGTCACAATCTGCACATTGCCCTCAGACCCATCCTGCACCTAAGACACTCCCCACTTTGGCCAGAAGGAGAGGTTCGCACTCTCGTTAAAAGAAAAGGGTCTTTAGAGGAAATAGAGTTGGGTGGTGGTGGGATGTGGGTGTCCACAGGTGGGTGTGGGCCATGATGCATTGGGGGCACCAGGCAACCTTTCAAAACACAGAGTTTTGTTGTCCCCCAGCTCCACCCCCACCTGCCTTCCGTCCTGGGCTACATACTCACGAGTGGTTGATAGTGGGAGTTTTGGAGTCAGAAAGACCTGAACTTGAATGCCAGTTTAGCCACGTCCTAGCTGCGGGACCCTTATTGAGCTTCTGTTTTCCAACTGCAAAACAGGGACAATAGCAGCACATTGCTCCCAGGGCTAGTGGGAAGGTTAAATGAAATGGTGCCAGTAAAGTGCTCTGCACAGTGCTGGCTCTCGCCGGCATCCACTAGAGAGGTGCAGGTATCATATCAGGTGGGGAAACGGGAAGTCCTGAGGCATGGGGGCTCGGCGAAGTGATGAGAAGGGGGGTGTGGCATGGGGACAAAGATTGTGGGAGGTGGGGACAGAAGGAGGCAGTGATGGGGCCAGGGTGCCCACTGCCACCTGCATCCCTCTGCCCACTCTATTACCACCACGCTGTGCTGGAGTCTCTATCCCCTCTGCTCAGAGCCCTTAAATGTGCTCCTTTTTCTCCCTGCAGGAAGCAAGACCCGAGAGGGAGTGGTACAAGGTGTGGCTTCAGGTACCAGCCCCCTTCCCTCACCCCCTCACCCCAGGCCTGTGATCTGGCCAGGAACCACAGGGCAGGAGCAGTGAAGTGGGGGGGAGGGGGAACTCCCAAGGCTTTTGTAAGTGGGGGGTACTCCATGGGGAGGGCAGGCCCTGGGACAATATATGGAGGGGCATCATGCCTCCTTCACCCTGGCCCCCAAACACCTTCCCCAACCCCCTCCCTACTCCAGTGGCTGAGAAAACCAAGGAGCAGGCATCACACCTGGGAGGAGCTGTGTTCTCTGGGGCTGGGAACATTGCAGCAGCCACAGGTCTGGTTAAGAAGGAGGAATTCCCTACAGATCTGAAGGTAAGCCATCGTCATGCCTAACACACACACACACACACACACACCAGGTGCACAAATAAACCTGCCACATCCTTTTACCAGGCCATCCTGGGGCACAGGCCACCTTGCCTCATAAGGCCACATAGGGCCAGGCTCTGTGCTGGGAGCTGGGGTGCAGAGAGGTGTTCGGCTATGTTAGACTCAGCTCAGAATGATTCTGCATGAAGTTGTGCATGGGTGTGATGCTACCTGTGACAGGGACCCAGATCTGGCTCTCTATGTGTATCCTGCTTGCCCCTGTGACCCAGACTACTTCTGGCCATGTCTGCCCGTGTCACTGATTTTTGTTCATTTCTTTTCTTTCAACAAATATCCATGCCAGAGAGGAATTGTTCTAGAGGTTACTGCAGTGAATAGGGTCCTACATTTGTGCAGCTGACATCGTAGTGGGAGAAGTAAAAATCAAGCCAGTAGGCAAGATGATTTCAGACAGGGATACATGATATAAAGAAAAGACAAAGGTGATGGATAGAGTCAAGGAGTGAGACGGCTACTTTAGCTGGGAGGGCTTCTCTGAGGAGGTGACACTTGAGCTGACACCCACGGACTGAGAGAGAGGCAGCCATGAGAAGACATGCGAGAAGCATATTTCAGGCAGTAGATGTACTTTCAAAGTACAAAGGCCCTGAGGCAGGTATGAGCAGGTGTGAGCCGTGGTGGGGTGGGGTGGGGTGATCGGTATGTCACACGTTTGTGCAGGTGTGTTTCCCCAAAGGAGTGGCGGTGGCTACTCTTGTGTGCATGGAGACAAAGGCCTTCATACCTTTAGGGTAGGAGCTGTGAGCTCTGGAGCCCCACAGGGCTGGGTTTGAATCCCAACTCTACTGCTTCCTGGCTGTGTGACCCTGGGTAGGTCCCATCACGTCTCTCTCAGCCTGATGATTTGCCTGTAAAAATGGAAGATGAACACAAGAGTTCTTATGCAGATTGGAGATAATACAGACCACAGGTTCTCAAAACTTGAACGTGCATCAGAATCACCAGGAGGCCAGGTTAAAATACAGATTGTTGGCCTCATCCATAGAATTTCTTTTTTTTTTTTTTCCTTTTTGTCTTTTTTTCGTGACCGGCAACGGATCGCAACCCTCAGTGTCGCGCCCGTACCGGACCGCTCAGCCAGTGAGCAGCCGGTCTGTATGTGGGATCTGACCCCTCGGCGGGAGCGCCGCTGCGCTCCCAAGCGGCACACTGTAGCAGTGCGCCACCGGGCCGGCCCTCATCCATAGAATTTCTGACTCACTAGGTCTTAGGTGGGGTATGAGAATCTACATTTCTAACCCCTCCCCCCCCCAAAAAAAATCCCAGGTGATACTAATGCTGCAGTTTCAGGGACATACTTTTAGAACCACTGATATAAAGAGCCTGGCTTGCATGTAGTGAGTGCCTAGGAAGAGACTGTGGCCACATGATTATGTGAGCACTCCATGTCTGCTCATGTGACATGGGGATCATGTGACCACAGGTGTGCATGGGTGTGTACCACCATGACAGTGTACCCTGTGGACTATACATGCGTGTACAGACATTCCTCGTGTGGGTGGTCTATGTTTGTCCCTGGACAAGTTCAGACTCTGCCTCCATGGGGGTGGGGGCTGTTTCTTTAATGTTTGGTTTGGGTGATCAGAGTGCATTCAGCATGAGCATTTCAACTGGGCTGTGGGAGACTCCACACCACCCTCCACTCCAGACATTTTGCATAGTCGGTTCCTTCCACTGTCGGAAGTCTGGGTTTTCACTCAGATCTGGTTCAAGTCCTGTCTCTGCATTTTACTATCTGTGTGACTCCCATTTCTTATAATCATGTTACCAGTAACCATTCCCATTTACTGATCTCTTGTATGAGCAGGCACTATCCTAGACGTTTTACGTGGAGTAACTAGCCCATTTTATAGATGAAGGAACTGAGGCTCAGAGGTGAAGTGACTTGCCCAAGATCCCAGTTCCTGCCTACCTGCCTTATAAGGTGGTCAGGAGGATAAGCTCTGGTCCATGTCATCGTAGTCACTTGGTACTGACACAGGACCAAGCTCTGTGCTGGAAGCTGGGGTGGAGAGAGAGGCAGGTCTGGCCTGACATGCTGGCCTTGAGGCTGTTTATGATTGGCCTTTGCACAGAATCATTTCTCTCTAGCGGCCTATCTCCTACCAGTGCTTATAGATACCTCTAGGCTGTTCTCTCAAGGGAGTTCAAGATCACAGAGTAATAATCCAATAAAAAAAAGAAAAAAGAAAAAAAATCCAAACAACAGCCCTTTGGGGCTACCAGGGTTGGGGGAAGCCGTGCAAGCCCAGGGTCAGCATTTCTGAGAATCTCTGCCTCCCGGCTTGCTTTCCATATGTGGTCATGGAATACTCCCCATACTCCTACAAAGCAGAGAGCACTATCCTCATTTCCCACTCAAGGCTGATGTGATTAGAGGTGAAACGACTTGCCTGATGTCAAACAGCGACTGAGTGGCCAGGCTGGGATTTTTCTTTTTTTCTTTTTAGCAAGAGAGGCTGGGATTTTTCTTAAGTGAATTTTTTATTGAAGTACAACATACATGCAGAAAACATGCAACTCCATGAAGTTTTCACAAAGGGAACCCCCCCATGTAACCAGGAGTCAGTCCAAGACAAAGAACAGCCCCCCAAATACCCACCTTGTGTCCCCTTCCAGGACCTACCCCCAGGGCCAGGACTCGGGCATCTAGGGCATCTAGAGAGGTGTCTGGGGCACTCA